TAGGTGAACTACATCTTTAAACCTGTCCACAGGTCTTTACACTGTCTCCCAGTTACATTTAGAATAGATTTTAAAGTATTACTACACGTCTATAAATCACTATTTGGCATAGGAGCTCAATACATTACAGATATGCTCACTGAATACAAACAGATCATCAGGATCATTAGGATCAAGTAAATAAAAAAATTCCAAGTGTTCAGTCAAAGCCAGGTCAATCTGCCTTCAGCTACAACGACCCCTGCTTCTGGAATCAGCTTTTAGAAATAATCAGATATGCTCCAACATTAGGCACATTCATATCAACATCTGTTTAGCTGTGCCTTTACTTAATGAGCACTGTACTACATCCGACAGATGGCACTAATATGTCTTTTTTTCTTATTAATTTGTTTATAACCAGTTTTAATACATTTTAATCAGTTTTTTATGTTTAAATCATTTTAAAAAAAATAATAATTTAATTTTTTTTTGGTTTCTTTTTTTCTTGTTTATGTAAAGCATTTTGAATTACTATTGTGTCTGAAATGTGCTAATAAATAAACTTGCCTTGCCTTGCCTTAAAACTATTAACCAAAACTTCAAAACTTTAAAGGCCATGAACAAAACCAAACCAGCTTCAAACTAAGAAAATCGTAAAATTACAAACTTTAATTTGAATAATTTGAAATCTGAATATGAAATATGCTAATTGGACACATCAGACATGAAAGATACATTAGACAGATACAACACTGTTTGAACATTGAAAGAAAGAATTACAATCCCATGAAACATTGTTAATGACGTAATCAGAATGAAAAATTGTGAAATACAACTGTTCATTTAAGTTTTTGGTATCAAAACAACAATTACCTGCAAAATTAATTGTAAACACTGTTTACTGTTTATTTAAAAAATATTTGCTGCATCCTAATTCACATACTTATACTACGGCCTATGTACTTTCTTTGTGAAGGAAAAGTACAGTTGAAGTCAGAATTATTAGCCTCCTTTGAATTACTTTTCTTTTTTTTTTATATTTCCTAAACAATGTTTATCAGAGCAAGGGAATTTTCCTATTATGTTTGATATGTTTATCTTAATTTTGGCTAGAATGAAATCAATTTTTAATTAAAAAAACAAAACAAAAAACAACATTTTAGGGTCAAAATAATTAGCTATAAATATTTTGAATAGTCTACAGAACAAACTATCATTAGACAGTGACTTCCCTAATTACCCTAACCTGCCCAGTTAACCTTATTATCCTAGTTAGGCCTTTAAATGTCACTTTAAGCTGTATAGAAATATCTTAAAAATATCTAGTCAAATATTATTTACTGTCATCAAAGCAAAGATAAAATAAATCAGTTATTAGGTCTTGCGCATTCGCCATGTTTGAAGTTCATTTACACTTTTTAACCAAGTTTGTAGCTTTAAATAAATTCATGTCCAATGCACAATGGTGGACAATATTAGAGGTTAGAGTATGGACGCTTCTACACTGAATTATTAGCGGAAGTAGTAAACCATACAGGAACCTTTGGCATACTATCTTCAACATATTATGGTTTGGCATATACTGATTCTATTTTCGAATACTAGTAATTAGGACGTATAGTATGCAAATTAGGACTCAAAAATTTGAACGTGTAATTGTTTGTGCTTCATGTTTGTGCGCGAAGCTAAACATCTAATGACTTTTTGATTGGTAATTTTCTATAAAGCATGATGGGTAATTTTTTTCTGCACATATTTCACTCTTAAAGGGCACCCATTTTACCCCTTTTTCAAGATTTAAGATGAGTCTTTTTTTGTCCCTAGAATGTCTGTAACATTTCAGCTCAAAACATCCATCAGATTATTTATTATAACTTTCAGAATATTAGAATTTTCTGCTCTGAACAATAATGAAGCAGTTTTTGTTGGCTGTGCCTTTAATGCTAGTTCTCCGCACTATCCCCACGTGCCTATCAGATTGTACCTCAATCTCCGGCTGCGTATAAAAAGCTTAAACTATTAAATAATACCAGGGTAATGAAATTATGACTGACTACGCAGTTTTGTATGAACTATCCTTTTAAAATATATTTAAACTTTCCAAACCGGTATAGCAATCTTTCTTGTGATAAAAATTTTATTATTATTATTTTCAAATACATAAAATGAAAACCACTGCCACAGTGGAACCCATTGTATGAACAAAAGCGACACATTGTTTGTATAACCTATTGAATTACTGTGGAAAATAAATAAATAAAATAATTACCAATAATAATTACCTGAAAGAATGGCTAAATAGCTGACATTCCAGAGTCGGACAAAGTAATTAAAGATCACAAAGACAAACGTTATTAAAGTATTTTGAAATAAAGTACACATAATAATGCCAAAGGACTATAATAAAGAAAGTACCATGGTCAAATGTAATTAAAGCACAACAATGGGGTTTCAGAAGTAAATAAAAACATTAATTATCTCCACAGAACACCTTTTACCACACGTATAACTAATAATGCAGTAATAAACATGTTGGATTGTGTGTAGTGATTTACATTTTAAAGGACATACTTTGTAGCCCTCCATGTATATTAACACGTTACCACAGGAAAAAAAAAAGAGTCAAAGTGTAATGCTTATAGGGTTTAAAGACCAATTAAAAAAACAAAACAAACAAAAAAAAAAACAGGATTTTTCTCTTTGTGCTATTAAAAATAAAAAAGGCATAAAGCATTAATTAATACCAGGGTGATGAAATTATGGTTGAATCTAAAGTTTTGGATGAACTATCCCTTAAAAATATATTTAAACTTTCCAAACTAGTATGGCAATCTTTTTTGAATGAAACATTTTATTTATTATTATTTTTTTTTAAATACATACAATGAATGTTAATCAGGTTCAAAGCCACAATGGAACCCATTGTATAAACAAAAGTGACACATTGTTTGTGTAACCTATTGAATTAATGTGCAAAATAAATAAATAAATGATTACCAATAATGATAACCTGAAACAATGACTATATAGCTGACATTCCAGAGTTGGACAAAGTAATTAAAGATCAAAAAGACAAACGTTATTAAAGTATTTTGAAATAAAGTACACATAATAATGCAAAAAGGACTATGATAAAGAAAGTACCATGGTCACATGTAATTAAAGTAATGTAATTTTCACAAGTAAAAAAAATTTTTTTTAAAAATTAAAAAAAATTTAAAAAACATTATTTCTCTGTATATAACACCTTTTACCACAAGTAATAATAAATCAAAACCCAAGATTTTTCTCTTTGTGCTATTAAAAATAAAAAAGGCATAAAGTATTAAATAATACCAGGGTGATGAAATTATGGTTGAATGTAAAGTTTTGGATGAACTATCCCTTTAATAAAATGAAAACTTTCCAAACCAGTATAGCAATCTTTCTGGTGTGAAACATTTTATAATTATTATTAAATTCATACAATAAAAGCCAATTGTACAGTGTAACCCATTGTATGAACAAAAGTGACGGATTGTTTCTTTAACCTATTAAATAACTGTTAATTACAAAGTAATTAAAGATCACAAAAACGAACGTTATTAAAGTATTTTAAAATAAAGTACACATAATAATGTAAAAGAACTATGATAAAGAAAGTACCATGGTCAAATGTAATTAAAACGCAACAATAAGGGTTTAAGGTTAAAAAAAGTCAATTAATTATCTACATAGAGAAATTATTTTTTGTAAAAAGACCTTCTTTGGAATAATAATTACTGTGAAAGTGCAATGCAAATAAAGTTGAATGGAATGTTTTAACAATAACGGCGAATCAATTAAAAACAGACAATATTTCAGATCCAAGGTTGTGAAGTGTCTGTATATTCTTCTTTTGTTTGACACATCTGTTTGCATTAACTTGGCATATTTTCAAAAGAATCTTGCTTAAATAGCATCTAAGCTGTTTGGGCAGGACTGTGTGTAGGTACTGTGTGTCCAGAGTCATACTTGGATAATATAAAGACAATCAGTCTCTTTTTTTATTTCCTGATGTTAAAATAGGATCCAAATCCCTGCTATTTTAAGGCCAAACACAATGTGATGTAGGAGTGCGATTTCCCCGCCAACCAAATTGATTGACAGCCACGTATTAACATGTCTCCGTAGTAACGTGTATAATCATATCCACAAGACAGGATGTGCACAAAGCAACTGTGATTAAAAGATCTGTTCAGCTCTCTGTGATCATCAGTCATCAACAAATGAGATCAAGAATGAGTTTTACAGCAATTTTACCTTCTTTACTTTATCATCACAGCTTCATGTCAGTGCAATTACAAAAGAAGATGTTTCTTTTAGACATTAAATCCAGTTTATTTTGTACATTAGCATAACAGATTTTCACACAGCAGTGTATTTTAACGTGTATCCTGTCACATTTGCATGTAAAACAAAGCAAATCTGACAGGATGTGTGTGCGTGTGTGTTTGCGTGCGTGTGCGTGTGTGTGTGTGCGTGTGCATGTGCGTTTGTGTGTGTTTGTGTGTGTGTGTGCGAGAACTGTGCATGTGTGTAACGATATTTTGTGTGGCTCATTGTTGCAGAAAGGCTTGAATTAACTCCACAACCAATGCATCAAATTGTCATTGGTAAAGTACTTACTATAATATTTCTTACAAACGAGATCTGCTTCCTTTATGTCACTGTGCTGTTTATTAGAAGCAAAATTATAATAGTTTAAATATTTTACTTTTTTATTGTCTGTTGGTCTGTAAACTTTATAAGCATTACATGTTGACTCTGTCTATTTAAATCTTTGTTTGTTTTCATGATGGGCTCCAAAGTGTTTCCTTTAAAATGTAAATCACTACACACAATCCAACATGTCTTGACATAGATTTCCATCTTGATGTCTCATAACTCGAGTGCTTTTTTACCATATGACTTCAAATGGCATGCAGCCATGAAACAATGTTGTGTTTATTAGTGTATTATTTGTGTGTGGTAAAAGTTGTGGTCTGTTTTTTTTTTAGGAGCGCCAACAGGCAGTCATCTGAATAAAAACATGAGCCACTGGCAGCTTCACGCTCACTATTATCCACCTCTACTGCGATCCGCAAACATCCGCAAATTTATGGTTGGGTATGAGATGCTGGCTAATGAACAGAGGGATCTTACACCCGAACAGGTATGTTTTCTATGTTGTGTGTGCGTGTGTCAGTGTGTTTTGGGGGTGGGGGGTGTTGATGGGAACAGAGCAGACGATGATATGTTAACCCTTTTCACATAACTGACCCTATTCATTTAATTTGTCAGTATATTCATTTATGAATGTTCACACGTTCATAAATTATTATCAACTATGGTTAACTGTTATTATTATTAATATTAATATTCATTCATTTTCTTGTCGGCTTAGTCCCTTTATTAATCCGGGGTCGCCACAGTGGAATGAACTGCCAACTTATCCAGCAAGTTTTTTTTTTTACGCAGCAGATGCCCTTCCAGCCACAACCCATCTCTGGGAAACATCCACACACACATTCACACACACACACACTTATACACTACGGACAATTTAGCCTACCCAATTCACCTGTACCGCATGTCTTTGGACTGTGAGGGAAACCGGAGCACCCGGAGGAAACCCACGCGAACGCAGGGAGAGCATGCAAACTCCACAAAGAAACGCCAACTGAGCCGAGGCTCGAACCAGCGACCTTCTTGCTGTGAGGCGACAGCACTACCTACTTCACCATATTAATATTATTATTATTATTGTGTTGTATTTATTTGAATTCCCTATTATTATTATTTTTATTATTATTATTATTATTATTATTATTATTGTGTTGTGTTTATTTTAATTCCTTATTATTATTTTTTTTAGCATTCTCTCTTTCTTTAAATGTGCAACTAGTGAAATAATAAAAATAATAAATATAATAATAATAATAATAATAATAATAATAATAATAATAATAATTTGTTTATATGTATGATAAAAAAATATACATTTATACAATTTATAAATTCCAATTTATAATAATAGAATAATACATTCCTATTTATTATAATAATATAATAATAATTTCTCTAAATTAGACCTTAGTTTGAGACTACCCAGCTCTTCTTTCTCTTTAAGAATGCACTCAAATAACGGGAAGTGAAAAGAGTGAGCCGTGTCCAGTCTGCTCATAAAATTTTAAAACCATTCAGGTCAGGTCACAAGTTCTCGTTTACAGGCAGGATTTGGGCTTCAATTTAACGCCCAGACAGACCTCCTGATAACATTCTTCCTCAGACTCAGGACCATTTTATCTCTCTTTCCACTACATTTAGAGTTCCCACTAAGCTCTAGCTCTCCAATTATACCCAGTTCAACACCCAAGCTGTTGATAACCTCTTACTTCACGCCAGGTTTCCATGACCCGCCACATTTAAAAACCACAGGTTATAAATGGCTTTTGAAGTCTTTTCCTGTCAGACTTTTTAATAATTGCCTACTGAGGTGACTTCTCTTGTTTACCTCCAGCTTTCAACAAAGGAGTTTTAAAACGCACTTATAATGTCAGGCTTAACAGTTTGTGACTTCTTCCTGGAGTTTGGCACTTCGGTGTTATTAGCATCAGCGACGTTCGTTTAATCCACAATGACTGGAATTTCCAGCACTTCCGCACCAACTTCACCTGCTCCATTAATGTGTCCAGTCATGTGGGACTTCTAAGTGTTTCTGTCAGGCTTATCCAGGCCAGGGTGACCCTTCTGTCAAGAGAAGGAACAGAAATTGAGTCCCCCATTTCCCTGTCTCCTTTTTCTCATCGAGGCCACTGAAGGAAGCAGGATTAGCACATTACCCTCTTGATTGATGCCCTTCTGGTTGTATTGATTGATAGCTTGATCAAATTACAGCCTTCCATCCGGAGGTTGTCTGGACACCGGCCGTCAGCGGCGATTCGTCACGCTGGCTCTCTGTCCGATTCAGGTCCAATCACCGGGCCTCCTCCCGACAGCAATCTGAGCCCTTTTCACACTCATCGCCAAGCCATTTCCCCCCCGAGCTTGTCCACCTGAATGCGGAATTTATCAGCGGGCATTGAGTGTTATCACTGCTAAACCAGGACATCAGTTTTTCTCCAAGCTAAACGAGCGAGAATGGTTTGGGCCATGATAAATTGAACTTGGTTTATCTGTTGACCTGACCTCTGTGTGCCGAGCCCGGGTTGCCCTGGGTGGGGAATTCAAAGCCAAGTTAGCATGTGAGCAAACTGAAGTGAGCAGTTCTGATTTACAAGCTCCAAGTAGTGTTAGGTATTCTGTTATCTTTTATTTGTTTATAACTGTCAACTGTTTTTCCCCTGGGATTCTCCTGTACTTTAGTATTATTTTTCACTATAATCTCATTTAAATTCACATGAAGTGCTTTAAAATGTGTATTTTAATTTAATGTTTGACGGAATCTCAAACGAAGACAGGGTGTGACATAGATTAGCTCTTAAAAAACAGCCAATAATGTTTTGTTTTTATCACAGCTCTGTCAATAAGAGTGGTTGAGCTTAAGCACATCAAATTAAAGCATCTTGAAAAAGGCAGGACAAAAATAAATTGTTGATCCATTTAGGTGGAAGTGACAAACTGCGAGCTTTGGATGCTTATATCAGGTTTATATCTTCTAAATGCAAATTTTATCACTGTTTTGTACACATACTAGATTAGATATCCAGGTAACTAACATTCTGGTACTAACATCTAAAACTATTTTAATTTTAATTCATTTTAATTTCATGTGACCTTTACAGTCCATGTGAACTAGAAGTTGCTAAGACTTAGGACATACTCACACTATGTACAGTTGCCTTGAACGAGGTCAAAGCATGCTTGTCCCCCCTCCCATCTCCCCTGATGGCCCGCACTCGGGGCTGGGCACGCTTACATCATCGATGATGCATTGTTTAGTAAGTGCTCTCGCTCAGCACAGTGGACATTTATTTAGTTATATTATTTTAGTCATTTGAGATGCAGTGACACGCAGTCAAATATTTTGCCGAACAGATCCGTAACTTTTGATGCTCAAAAACAATCATAAAGTACTCATGCTGCAGGAATTAGGAGGTTTGCTGAAGGCGCAGCTGTCGCGCAATAATCTATGACAGTTTGCGTTTATTGAACACTAAGAATGATCAATTAATCCATATGAAAAAGTCCCTGAAACTGAAAGTCACGTCTCGCTTTCAGTTTCGGGCTTAGGGGTGTTTGCACTCACACACAAGCGTACCACGCCAAAGACCAAGTAAACCACGCTCACACCTCTTCCAACCGGGCCAGGGCCGGCCAAGTGAACGTGCCTGAGCCCGATTCAGAGCACTCACACTTCTCAAACGATTCGGGAAACGAGCCTGGGCACGGTTCGGATAGCATAGTGTAGGCCCTTATTAATGCCTTTATTAATGTTAGGGCGGGGCTTTCTTTTGATGCATCATTCCCTTTTAGGAAACCAACCACAAAAGGGGCGTATTTAAGAATATTGTAGTTAAAGCCATCAAACTAACATTATCAGAGAAGGAAGGCCTCTCCAAACTTGAAAGCAAATGGTCTGTTATAATTTCCAAATTATGGAGAATAATGTCATTCTGACATAACTCAAAAGTTTCCCATCTGAAGGGGAACCAGGGTTGACCACTACCATGCCATACACTTGAAGTCAGAATTATTAGCCCTATTGAAATGTTACCCCCGTTGTAATGAGAAGCATGTAAACAAAAGAGGAGGTGGGGGGACTTGGGTGTAAGTGCAAAGACTTCTGGGGGATTATCTGACATAGTGGCAGGTAGTTCTCTAGTTATCTGCACAGGCTAGATCGCTGGTGATCGTGACACCTCTATGCTATATATAATGGAAAGACATTTCTAAAAATAATAGTTGCAATTTAAAGGCTTAACTAGGTTAACTATGCAGGTTAGGGTAATTAAGCAAGTCATTTTATAACAGTGGGTTCTTTTGTACCCAATCGAAAAAAATATATATTGCTTTAGAAGGCTATTAATATTGACCTCAAAATGGTTTAAAAACATTAAAAACTGCTTTTATACTCTGATTTCTCAGTTTATGATTCTTTGAAACTACTAGGGGAATGGAACCTAGAAGTTCTGTTTAATTCTGAAAATTGGTCAAAGATCTGTGATGGTATTTTTCCAAAATGTATCTCAAGTTTTTTCACAAAATTTAATTTACACCTGTTCGTCTGCATATAATGTGTCCAGCTTGTTTCGACCTCTGTTTTAAGTTCAAAACTTGTTAAGGCACATTTTTTTTCCATGTATTTTGTTCCTGTGTTCACAATCAACCATTTTGGTGAGGGGTTCATTCTGCAATCCATTTGATTACATGAAAACATTTAATTTCTCTCCCCAACTTTTTTTGTCGAATGACATTCCTGAAGACCTTTTTTGACTCAGACCTCAAACCTGTTTACAACTCTTACATTTCTAGTTACAAAATATATATTACTAAATTGGTCTACTTCTCAAATTCCAACTATCTCCATTTGGATTTCTTAGTTGTCAGTCTTTAACAACAAACAGGATAAATTCAAGAGATTTTGGGATCCTCTCAAATCCTTTCTACACAAACTCTGAAAAATGTATTGTAAGAGAGAGCTGGCTTATTTTTTTTTATTTTTTTTTTTTTGTTAAACAGATACATTTGTAAATTTTTATTTAATTGGCAGTGAATGGGGTTTGTATGTTCGTTTGTCTATCTGATTGTCTTTGTTGTTCGTACTATTTGAAAATCCTTAAATGGTCACAAAACAACAAAACAAATTTTTTTTTGAGCTGTTGACAGTTGTATATGTGTCCCACACTGCTAAAAACACTGTTAGGACACATATATCTCACTAAAAAGTTAAAATTGGTAGTTTTTGCGTTATTTCGAGCAAATTCGTACTTCTGGTTTGAAACAAATTTTTAAAGCTGCGTCACGGCCATGAGATCTTAGCATGTATTCCAGCGTGACTGGGCGACTGTACCTGGGTGTACCGTATTACGTCTCCGAGTGTGCTGCATTAATGCATGAGTAAGACTTGGTTCAAACCAATCAGCGCGCTCTATTGTGCAACTTCATTAATATTCATTAATGTTACAGTGTAGATGGCGTCACGGCAGAGACGCCACATTGTGTTGGCAAAAC